ATTTATTCTTTTCAATATATGTTCTTGGTGTCATTGAAGAATAGTTTTGCATTTGTTAGCATAAGTCTGTCTGCACATGTACGTGCTTTTGCAAGTTAGGTAATTCTAATTTGATTAGAAGTTATGGTTGGGTTAATGAGATGATTTTTTCCTTTTTTTTTCCCTAAAATTATTAGTTAATTTTCCAATGATGCTTTTTCTATACATGAAGACAATGTGTTTTCTGTTTAACTTAAATAAAAGAAATCAATTTTTTGTTGGTGTGGCCTTGGGCTAATGAGTTTTTTTTATAGGAGTGTGTGATAAGTCCAATTGTTGCTTTGGTTTCTTTTATTCTGTCGAGAACTTGGAGAACTTGGGCTTTCTTTCATGTAGTTGTTGTTGTCCATTCTCTCTTTGAGCAACTTGAATAATGACTCGAACTCTCACATGTAAATTACCAAAACCGACCTCTTACTTTCAAAGAACTTTGATGATCTAAGGCCTAAATTAAGTTTTGGGTTTTAGTGCTTAAGTTAAGGATCAACCTACCACCACCAAGCCAAGGCCTACCAAGTCACAATTAATCTAATGAAAATATTAATGTGATTGAATATATCATGTTAAGGTGGCATTATAATGTTTACTTGGTAATCACTTCAGTGATTACATATTCAATCGGCAAAAATTATTGATTAGTGAAGAGCAATTGGTCCAAAGTTCACCTTTAAGAATGGATGTCAGAAGCTCAAGAGCTTTTGCATTAAAATATAAAATCAAGGTATTGGGAATCACGATGCAATATAGATTGCATAAAATTTCTTGGTGCACTTCTATTGTCCAAAATTAATGCATAAACTTTTCTAAAAGTATGTTCGTAGATATCTTATATTTTTACGAAGGCTTCAAAAGTGTTGTATTTCTTTATTCCATTTTCGTTACTTTTCATTTAACTTTTGAGTTTATTAGGCTAGCTAAATTTCTTATTGGGTTTTGGTATCATAAATTTCTTAGATAATTTGAATGAGGCGATGGGGTTTTTGTTTTTCTCATCTTAATCTTGCTTTTCATTTTTATTGATGTTACGTTGGTATACAAATTTGTTCCTAGCAATACCCTTGAGTTTTACTTTTTTGGTCCCAAATTCATATTACCATTTCTTAATCATGAACCCAATTGACCAACTAGATACGTGCTTGCAAGTCTTTAGAATGCACTGTGTTTATTCAAATGTTTGCTTAATGATAAATAAAGTGATGTCTTTTTCGTCCCAATTTGTGGTGTGGTATTATGGTGGTTATGGCAGTTGTTTGTGAATGTTGTGCTGACGTCTCAAGGTAATTGTAACTCCTACGACTGTTTGTGGAGAGAAAAAAAAGAATAAGTTGTAGAAATGAAGGCCATAGGGAAGGGAACCCACACATAATGTATACCTTCATCTGCAGAGAAATCTATTAGCAGTGATAGACAATCTATTAGTAACGATATGTCCTTGCTTGACGATTGTTTGCTCATATTGGTCTAACACACTCCTCATTAAATGGTTTTCTATTGAATTGTTGGTGATGCCTCTTGCCTCCATATATATTGCTCAATTTCTAACACATTGCTCACATATGTTTGATTTTCTATTGAATTTGTTTCTCATATATGAAATTGGGATTGCCCAATAAGAAGGGTAAAGAATTTGAGTATTTCTTGTAGGTTCCAAAAGTATATTTCTAACTATGCATGACCATGAACATAGTCATTTCCAACTTTTCAATGGACAATTATTGCATCTTTTTCCTACCTAGCAAAAACAGAAGAGAAATTGTCTTTCTACCATACATCAATTCTTCACTTCTCCCTTTTTGATCTGCAAATCATAAGGACACCATCATTAGCCCAGAAAAAAGAAGCAAAAGTAGTTGGAAGAGAGGATGCAAAAAAGTTGGTTTTTATTTAGCGTTGTTAAATTACATACATTGGAGCATAGATTTAGAAGTATAGTTTGATTTGACTCTTTATTTGGATAATATGAATGTGGTGTTATTTTGATGATGTAAGAGTTTTTAGGATAAAGTAAGTCTCGAAGCATGTATTAAGATGCTTCATTACTATGATGGTGTTGCAATGTTTGGGAAATGGTTGTATGAGAAAATACACTGTTGTGATGGTAGTTTAATAAATTTGAGTATATAAAATTGTATATACAAGTTGATAATTTTATGGGGTGTTATTTTAGAAGAAATAGTATCGATTTTTAAAAAAAATAGTGGGGGCAGATTAATTGACAATTTTTCTAATTAATTATTTATTATATTACGTAGTGCCTTCAGCCACGGACATTAGCTAGTAAATATATAAATCAATAGCATAACTTATAACTAAGGTTCACAGTTCACACCCTTAACAGTATGTGCGTCCCTCACTTTCTCAGACTCATCACACGACCTCTCTTACTCATTCTCTTAGCCTTTTCTCTCAGCCCTCAATTTCTCTCACTCCCTCTCTCAGCCTCTCTCGTTGATACACAACCACCATCAATAATTGACTGAAGACCTTCATAGATGACTCTCATCTACTTTCATCGATGATTGACTCACTCTACCTCTCTAACTCTTTCAACCTTTCACAACAAAGAATCTTATGTGAGCAAAGATCTTCGCCGAAGATCTTTATACTCAGTTAGATCTATGCCTCTCTCAGCGAACTATCACTGGTATGTATTCTAAAATTTTTGATTTTATTTTCAATTTCAGATTTTTTTCAAGTGCAAAATTTTATTTTCATATTTTTTCTAGTGCAAATTTTAATTTTTAGATTTTAATTTCATTTTAAACGAACATAACCTGAATTCTAACTCGAAATCAACCTTAATTAAGTAAACCGAATTCAATCTGGGTCTATCTGAATTCAACTTGGCAATACTCATGTTGAGGTCGAGTTAGGGTTAAAGTTGAAAATTATATACTTAGGGTTGAGTTAAAGTCCACCTCTCAACTCACCCAAGTTGTATCCCTATAAAAATTTGACTTGATGAATTATTATTATTGAATAGGTAGTGAGTTTTAATAATTATTAGAATCTACAATTAACTCAATGACAAACATAACCACATCATTGAGTTAAATTTTTTAAGCATTACTAAAAAAAAATAAAATTAAATGGCACCATTTTGCCCTTTTTTTTTGCACATAGTAAATGGTGTATGTCCAAATTTCATCCCCAAAAAACTCAAGAGGTTTATTCCTTCTTTTTTGTTAGCTTAATGGTTAAGGGTGTTCAGATAAGTTTACGCGCACCTCAATTAATTGTTTCGATAAATCCCTCATGGTCTAATGTCAAAGAATTATCAAAATTCGAAATTAGGACGCATAATTTATTACGTTTATTCTTTCACAATTTGACAAACTCCACTCCTCACATAATCATTTTTATCTCTCAAACTCCTCCTTCTCATTTCTCTCTCTGGTATCAACCACAAAAACCTATGAAGCACGGATACTTCGTCAAGGTCAACGTACCCGTATCCGATACCGCATCGGATACGATACTCGTCGGATACTCAATGATACGTATCGGATACGCACCATCCGTATCTGATAATTAATAAAATATGTGGATACTTCGCGGATACTTCTAAACATGGTGTAAGATGTACAATTTTCAATTTTAAGCTACAACCCTTCTTTGGAGTTCACATACAATATAAAATATCAACAAAATTCCATCTGATTTTAAAAACACGAGTGTTTTTTAAGTATTATCTATTATTATATGTTAAGAGGGTATAAAAAAAATAAATCACTTACACTATACTTTTAAAAATAAATACTTATAAAACCAACTAGTTAAATGTTATTATAATTCCTTTAATTTGTCATGCTCATTTTATGAACAGATCATAATGAGATGATATTATAACCTTTTCATGGTAAAAAATTATAATTTTACTTACTAATGTTAAAGAATTATTGAAAAATTATAATTTATAAGTCGTTTAATAATAATAAAATATAAAATATATTTTATTATAGACGTATCCTGGCCGTACCCGTATCTTATTTTTTTAAGTTTTGTCGTATCGCCGTATCCGTATCGTATCATGCCCGTGTCACATATCCGTATCCATATCCGTGCTTCCTAGACAAAAATCCACAATTCCACTCTCCCTCTGAATCTCTAGATTTTCTCTCTCAGCAAATTCGGTTAAGCACAATGAATTATTGCAAGAGTTAGAGAGTTTGGAATAAGAAGTAAACTAAACTGAGAAGTATATTAGTTGAATTTTTGCTCTATTTTAGGACTTGATTTTAGAAATATATATATATATATATTTTAACAATGGGGTTGAATTTCTTCCCTAATTTTTTGTTATTAGTTAAATTGTAAAAAAATTAATTAAAATGAATGCCCTAATTCATTCTTACCTTTCCTATATGTAGTGCTTTTTTTTTTTTTTTTTTTTTGGGGGGGGGGGGGGGGT